TGCAAAGAAAAAATTGCCAATTTTCTTCCTCCAGCTCTTGTCCTGGCCTATTCCAGAATCTGTTTGCTTTTTGAAGAAAAGAGACAGGAATATTTTTACTCTTAAATCTCTTATTTTGCTAATCACTAAGAGTATGTGGCAGACATGTTTCTGTTGGCGCTTTCATGAAGATAATGGGCCTGCCTGTCCCTCACAGCCTCACAGGAGGACCAAAGGGGGAGCAGCACATGAAAGCCCTTTGTGAACTTCAAAATGCCCTGAAAATGTTCATTTTCCTTATTAGCTCAATGCTGCCGTAGATACATTTAAATACTGTTTGTGGAAAAGAAAATGTGATTCTAAATTCTGAATCAAAGGTAAATTAGTTGTCCTTAAAAGTGGGGATGGAAGATAAGAAAAAACAAAACCTGCTTTTACTAAGATTTATAGTTCAGGCCCATACTCAGTCCTTATCTTTTATAACAACAACAACTAACTTTTTTTTTTTTCACAGATCAAACGAGCACAGACTGTTGTCTGTCTGAGGATTGTCTGACACTCTAGCCTTTCAAATGTAGGAGGGTTGTAGTGGAGGTCTAGAAATACAAATTCAATGAGTGAGTGAATGTTCACTAATGAACCAGGTATTGGCCTGGGTATCATTTTCTAACATGTAATAGCTTATTTAATCCTTATATTAAATATATGGAATAGGCTTGATCCTTAATGTTTGACAAGAAAAGGCAAACTTGGGAAGATACTTAATATGTTACAGGTATTATTACAAGCATTTCATATAATTGTATCATTTAACCTTTGCTGTCATCCTCAGGGGTGAACTCTATTAGCCCCGATTTAAAGATAAGAAAACTGACAGAGGAGAAGTAAAATTACCTGCCCAACAAAGGAGACCCACTAAGCAGGATTCTAATACTGGCAGTTTGACCCCAGAGACATCACTCCTAGTGTTAATATTATTCCGCCTCCCCTGATAAAGCACACAGTTAAAATGTAGCACAGACAACATTTTATATCCAACTCTGCTTAACTCCAAGCATGATCTCTTTTCATTCCATCTCTGGAAAAGTGTTTTAAAATTTCCAAAGCAGAAGCTACGTGCAAAAAAGAGCTGGGGGATTGGGGAAGTGGGGGAAGGCAAAATTGAAATTACTAGAGGGTCAGATTTGCCAAAAAAAAAAAAAAGAACCACTAACAAGCCAAAGAACACTACAATGATGTGAAGAAAGCTTACCAGACTCGGAAGAGAGTCTGAATTCCATTACTTATTTATGAACTAATGACATTGAACTCTTTAATGCAATTGATCTAAAACTCAATTCCTTAAACAAGAGGACCAAGTAAAAGAATGAAACAAATGCTTTGTATATTGAGTTTTATACCAATGTAAACTAGACATATGAAATTTTAAAAAATACTGCTGTTAGAGACTGTATACTTTATTTTATAGTAAATATTGGCTGTATTTGGAAAATAGATCATGCCTGACTTGGTAAGAAGAGACTTGTAGTGGTCAATCCTGTTTCATTTGAAGGTGCTTTTGAATATCAACCACAATCTTTAATTGGACCATGGCATAATCTCATATTTTTAAAAATAAATACAGACTGCTGTAAAGATCATTGAAAATTCAATCATTTTGCTTTCAAATCAGATACAAGTTCCTTTTTAAAGGGTGAAAGAATCATAACAATGAAAGAGACTTCAGAAACATATTTAATCCAAGCCTGTGTCTTTAAGTCCTATTTCCTCTAAATATCTTTGAATTGATTCAACCATGAACCCATTCAATCAACCAGAGTCTACAGAACACTCATTGTGTAACAATAACATTTATTGAACAATGCTATGTCTTGTACAGTGCTAAACTTAAACTATCTCATTTACTCCACACAATAACCTTTAGAAAGGGTGCTCTTATCATTGCCATTTTGTGGATAAAGTAACTGATGTATAGAGATTAAGGCAGTATCCAAAGAATAGAGGTCATAAGTAGTCAGACCAAGATTGGAACCAGGTGTGTCTAACTCCAGCGCCCACAAGTTAAGTCTCAAGTCACAGAGGGAAACTGTGCTTGTGCTATGTTAATTTGTAAGACTTTTTGTTAATTGTAAACAATACTAAATTTACAAAAAAGTTGAAAGAATAAGAATATCAAGAATATGAATAGCACTGAGAATACCATTATACCCTTTACATGATTTGCCTATTAAAATTTTAACCAACTGTTTTTCTTTAGTATGATAGATAGGTGATAGATGGTAGACGATAGATAGACAGATAGAATAAATAGATAGAAATGGAAAAACAATATTAGTGTACACATTAAAGTTAAAGTCTTTCTTAAGTATGCATTACAGAGAAAACTGATTAAATTTAACTCAATATTACTACATTTACTTGAACCCCCTAGTAACACCTGTTATCATCATTAAAGCATTATTTGAAAATGCTAATTTGTATATTTGAAGTGGATATTAGGTTGCCTTTAAGCTCTTTTATCTTTTGTCCTTTCCTCCTCTGTACCCTCTGAACATCCTTCTATTATAGCTCTTAGTAAATTGCTCCACAACCAGTTATTCACTTATCAAACAGTCCCATTTGACAGAAAGGTCCTAAAGGACAAAAATCTGTTGTTCTCAATGGTCTCAATTTCTGCTATAGTACCTGGTATTTAACAGGCATTCAAAAAATATTGTTGAAGTATTGAATTGCCTGAGAGATATCAACTCCATTTGACATTTTATCTTAGTTTGAAGTAGTTCTTCCTTCAATACTATGCCCATTCAATGAATTATTTTTAAATTAATTTTACACTGGAGCCATAACAATTACTCTCCTTTATCCCTAGAGACCAGATACCCAGTTGAAAAATAAAGCAAAGCATAAGCAACCAATATTGAGAGTACATTTAACCACCTGGAGCAATAAAGTTTAAGTGATGGGCGTGGCCTCTACCGCCAGCTAGCACGAGGCTAAATTGAATCCAATGCACAGAGCAATGTTTTCATTGCTTTATAGTGCTTTCACACTCTTCCAGGTGGTGGAGCGTCAATAAGACAGACAAGATCCCTTCTCTCACGGGCTAATATTTGAGTGGATGAAGACAAATGAAAATAAAGTGAGGAAATAAATAAAAACAAAAATTCTACAGAACCCTAAGCTCGTTGAAGACAATAAAACAACATAATAAGATCGAGTGAGGCAAAGACTTTGACGATGAAAAGAAATCAACCCTATGAAAATCGGGTGGCTGAGGATCTAAAAGGAGGGACCAGCATGTGCAAAGGCCTTGAAGCAGAAAGCAGCATGGAGAACTAAGCGTGAATGGCGGTGACAGTGAAGCGCACACATCACATAACATTCTATCGCTGCGGCATGAGACTATTCTTAGCAGCATCTTGAGAGGGTGGAGTGGGATGAGGGAGTAAATGAAAAAGAAAGGTCTGAGAGCTGTGAACAGCAATAAAAAAGGGAGGCGAGGCTTTAAAGCTTGATAATAATGTACAGAATCTAAGTGAGCAGCGTGAGAGGAAAGCTCCCTTGTTTCCTTGCTCAGACCTGAAATCTCCTCCCTTCCTGCCCTTTGACTTTTTTCTTTGTTTCTTTGTCTTTTATTGTCAATGTCTTACCTTCCATGTTTGTCTTCCCCAGCCCATCAGCTGATCAGATCTCTCTTTTCTATTTTTGTGCTCTCTCTACTCCCTTTACTTTTTGCTTGTTCCTCTGTGTGTCCCAGCGTCCCCCTCAGCTTGCCTTTCTCATCATGTTAATTTATCAGACAAACTTTCACCAAATCACTTCTATAGGCAGTTGCTCTTTTGAAAAGAGTGAAATAACTTTAGTGTTCTCTACCCTCAAGGAACTAGTGGGCTTGATGGCAAGCAGGTGAACACATTATCGCAATGTGGTGGGTGCAATATAATGGTATATAGTTGTAGATGGCCCTTCCCTGCTGTGCCACTTCCTCTCTGTCTTAAGCAATCATAATATAGCAAGAGTCTCCAGACAGTCCTGCTTTTAAATCTGTCTTAAAATCTATTTCATGTGCTGTCTTAAAATTAATCTCCCTGAAATCCTGCTCTTGTGAATTTTGGAGTAAGACAAAAATGTGCTCAGAATATGCCTCCAAAAACAGCAAATAGTGTAATGTGGGATCCTATTTGACATCCTGGGACAGAAAAAAAATTGTGAAAAACTGATGAAAATCTAAGAGATACACGTTAGTTAGTAATACTGTACCAATGTTAATTTTATGATTGATAATTGTACTACGGTAATGTAAGATGTCAACATTAGAAGCAGCAAACTGAAAGGTGTGAGGGAATTCTACTCTTCTCCAACTTTTCTGCAAGTCAATCTTTGTTAAAGATATTAATTATTGACAAATATTAGTATTAGATAACTAATACTAGAAAATATTGGTAATTTTAAAAGACAGATATATCATTGGAAATGCTGCTGAGCAGAAAAAGGAATACAGTATTTCTATCAGTGTTAGTGAGGAAACAAGACCCCCAAATTTGTAACTCTAAGTGGGTTCTGCCATCTGCTATATAAAGGCAAAACATATTCTTAGTGTGTAAGACATTTAATATAAAAGACTGTTAAAGGGATAGCGTGCATAGAAATAGAAGAGAAGAAAGGATAAGCGTTTCCAATAAAACACCCCAAGTTACCCATCCCTTCGGGGGTAAATGCCCAGCAAAACAGGCTTGACCCAAAGTGGGGCGGCTGAGTTCTGAAAACTTGCCACAAGTCTAAGTCACCTTCTGCTGGCAACCACTGGAAAGGGGCAGAAGGTGCCAGGCAAGTCTAGGATGAAAGGGGAAAAATCAAAGTAAAATATCGGTCTCTCACCCACACCTCTTCAGGTGTCCTCTATGTCTCAACTTCACGTCTCCTCCTCCAAGTCGTCTTTCCGTACTCCCCTCCTCCAAGTCTTCTTCAGCTTCTCCTCCTCCCTCTGCTCCACCCTTCGTTAGGGCAGGCAGGGAACATGGAACATCTCCTTTTCATGGAGAATACACTCTGTAAGAGTAGCATTGTTCTTAATAGCAGAAATTATAAATCAACCTAAATGTCAATCAAAAATGTCAATGGAATAATATCATACCGTAGAATTCAGCATGGCAGTAAAAATGAGTATACTACAACTGTACCTATCTGCATGAAACGTCTCTACATGTTTATTGTGGAAAACCACAATAGAACACTCATGAGATGAGCTCATTTGGCTAAAGTCTGAGAGCAGGCAAAGTTAAGCCAAAAACCATTTAGAGACATGTACAAGGGTGGCATGTATTTAAAGAAAAATAAAAGGATAATGGTCACAAAGTCAGGGTGAGCCATCTCTAGCAAAGAAAAGTGGAAACACAAAGGGGCTGTAAAGCCATTCACCAGGGGATCTACACATGCATGTGAGTTTCATTATAATTCTTAATTTGCATATATACATTTTATTATCCTTCTGGTAAGTATTTTATCTACGTGTCACATAAATACATCAGATATGTATTATTCAAAAATAAATATACGCTACCACACTAGCAAGCTGTGTGACTCCAGGCAAGTTACTTTTCTTGTTCCTTAGTTACTCAATTGTTTGTACTGAGGATTAGCTGAAAGGATGCATAAAACATTTAATATAAGCTTGGCCAATAATTAATACTCCATAAATGCTTATTTATAAACACATAGCTATAGATTTGTATTTCACATGTAGCAAGATTGTGACACATATAATAATAAAAATAAGAGCTAAGAAGTGGTCTTCTCAAGCCAGAGGTAAACTACATTAGTAGTAGTGGTATTCTAACTATTATTGCTATTATGGAGTTAAAGTAATAATAGTTGACAGGTATTGAGCTGATGTTGTTTGATGAGCTGTAATTCTAAGGGGACTCAGTTAGCTGGGTGTTTACTTCTTTAGGTGATTCTGCACAGTAGATCAGTGGGTTACATGTGGAGAGAGTGCTAGCAATACACTCCCAAAAACATAGGATACAAGAATTTTAAATGCAGACTTTATTACTATTTGGATATTACAAGACCAAAAGGTGATGATGTAACTGCCACTGAAGAGTTTGTTATATTCATAGATCCTAAGAGAACGAGTTCTGCTTTTCCAGGGAAGACCTCCCAGAGAGGCACAGTCTCAGTGGTGAAGGATGGGAAAAGAGAAGGAAATGTGCAGGAGCTTTATTATGGTTACCCTGGAAAAGAATGGGTAAGGCAGGATAAGCAGGATTAGAATTGACTAATTTAAATAATTTCCACAGGTTCTGGGGCACAGAGTCTGTCTTTCCTTGTCTGATGCTGATAAGTGGTCCCAGGACGATTAGGGTAGGATGATTACTCCAAATAGTGGACAGTGGCCTGGAGTGAAAGAGCTTAATAAAGGAGGTAGTTGGGCATATGCGTTCCTGATTGGTTGGTTTGCATTTGAAAGTTACAATCTTTTGCAAGTCCTTTACTATCTCCAGAAATAGGCTAGCCCTGGGAGAAGACTGTCCCTTCAGGGTTAGCAAGATATCAAAATATTAAATACAGAAACTAGAAAAATGTGGTTATTAAAGCACAGTTGTAATTTATCATTTCCTAATAGTCACTTTTAAAGAATAAAAAAGTTAATTGTAATGAAATATCTTCAATCATATCATTTCAAGGTGTAATTGATATAAAAATGAATGAGACATTTTGTTTTTTTAGACTTTTTAATGCCAAATCTTTGAAATCTAGTAGGTATTGTGTGCTTTGAACAGAACATGTTAATATCAGCTCATCACATTTAAGCACTCAATGTTACATGTAGCCAGTGGCTACTCTGATGGACACTATAGCACTGTACAGCCACAGAAAAATTCATCCAGGTAGATGGAATTCATCCAGGTAGACGAAATCTCTAGAAGACTTGTGGCTTGTTAAAGTAATTGCTGTCCTTCCCCCTCACACCACCCCACTCCACCCAGCCTCAGTAAATTCTCAACCCCACTCTCACTTTTTGCTAGCCCACTTTCCCTCCCCTCCGCTCATTACCATGCCCCCCTTCATTGCTGTCACCCTCTCTTTCCTTGTCTTTCCATCTTAGTGTTCTCTCCTGGGCTAGACAAAGGAAACCTACAACTATTGCTTTTGGGTTACTATCACAGAGATTGCTGCTCCTGGGAAAGGGGCTAGGAGTCCCTGTGGTAGAGAGAGAAAGAGCTGTAGGGTGCTAAAGAAAATTAAAATTAAAAAATAATAATTATGGACATTGCATGAACTGCTATCAGCACGAACAATACTTACAAAACTTATCCAATCACAAAAGGTTCTCTTGGTGATTTGGTATAAAGCATGGAAATATATTTTTGTTGCTTTTAGTCTGGCAAGCTATATGTCAGCAAAGGATTGCAATCGGAAAATGAAAAAAAATACAAAATTGTAAACACTTGAAAGAAAAAATTAACTTGCTTTAACAACTTCAAATAATGTCTGCTTTTATTTTGATGAGATGCTTTCACTTCTGAAGATTTGCTTCTGATACAATTCCAGCAGTTTTAATGCCCAAATCAGTAAGGTCTAAGTAACGTTGCCCAACCTAGACACAATGTACAGAAGAAGGTGTAGTTCCCTAGACAGCTTTTCCTTTGGTTCCAAGTTCACTCATCCTCTTCTCTGTTTTTAAGATGTAAATCTGGCACACAGGAAAGTGAGAAATAAGTGGCTTTGTCTTGAGCCAGGCATCCTATGAATAAATCTCAGGTAAACTAATCCACAGAGCTCAGCACACATCCTATGGCCTGAGGGATACTCCTGTCTTCACTATAAATAGTGGTTGACTTCTGAACTTTACAGAAAATGTCAGCTCCAGGGATATTTTCTAAATCTAAGAATTTAGGTCCACCTCAATATCTTTTTAAAGTGTTATAAAAGATTAATAAAAACATGGCTATATATCAGAAAGGACAGTATGACTTTGGGAAGTGCATTGAAAAACTTTTTTTGGTTTGCATTGTTATTTTTAATCAAGTTACTCCTCATGAACAACTCTGGTAAAATTCCCTGAATGAGTAAAATGAACTTCAACTTTAAAGAGTCCTGAAAAAAACTGCATTGTTTTGTTCTGTAAAGTATTATTTAAAACACGCATTGGTCCTATGACAATGAGAAGCAAAATGTGTAATTCAACTCTCATTCTTAGTGACTCAAGTGACAAAGAAGGACAGGATGCTTCAAAAGATTTCTCTGCAATGCTCCACATCCATGATTTCAAGAGAAATAATAAGTTTGCCTTCAAAACACTAGTTTGCACTGGTAGAATATCTGTCTGATAAAAGACCACAACCCAGTAAAAGGTAATCATTAGGGAGACATTATTATTATTTTGCTAATTAGTCAAAAATCATTGGATTTCCCGTGGCTTCTTCCTGCTGAGCAATCATTTGATCTTGCTTATGTTGACAAACACACACGTCACCAATTCTGCCTCATTTATCATTTGACAGGGACAGTATTTGCTTCCTTGTGTGTGAAGAAAGGAAAAGTAAATGTAAGCAAGCAGGCAACAGGAACCCGATAATAACATCAACTCATTTCCTTGCTTACAAATAAATAAATAAATGAATAAATAAATAGATGATAGAAGATAGACAAGATAGATAAAAAGTCTTGTTTTTTTGGTTTTGACAACTGGCTTTTATGTGCTTTGAAAAGTGCTAACATAGATTTCCTGTCCTTTAAGGATAAACCAAATCAGAAAGTGAGGAAAATTGGTGTTTGTAATATTGAGAGAGAGAGCAATTGATAACATAACAAAAGGCAAAACAAAACAAAAAAAAAATCTCATTAAGTTGACAAAGATTCAGTATGTTTAGTTTGGATTAAAAATATCATGCCATTTAAATTTGGCTAAGAAAAGACAGAAAAGGACCTCGCCTTGCCTTTACTTAGTTAAATTATAAGAAAAATGTTACATTCTGTGTAAAGCAGACTTTAAATTCAGTGACAATCATTTGAAATTCCAATCAGGCCGCTTAGATGCTATTGCTAAGAAAAGAGAAAAAACAAACAAACAAAAAATAACAGTAACTAAAATAACTAATAACTTTGCGTAAAAATGTAGTTGTTTCTTTAGAAGAATATGCATTAGATAAAGCTTAACAAAATTTTGTGGTTTGGGCAGTCCTAACCAGTTAATAAAATCAAGTGTTTGGTGACTCATTATGCAGAAATCAATATAAGAAAAAAGAAATTTCAAGTAAGAGGGTATCTGGATACGGGTTCAGATCAAGACAAGAGAAGAGAGATCTGTGTACACTTCAGTTTAGATTAAACTAGGGAGATTAGCCAACTGTTTTAAGTGAGTAACTAGACTGGGAGCCCAATATTCCAAAAACAATGGCTAGGTTCTGTGTTGTCTATAAATTCAGTTTGAGTTAAAAATTACTTTTCTTCCTTTACAAAATGAAATAGTGTTATCATTCCATCCAGATATTGATTAGCTTTAGGCAGACCCCAGAATTCTTAAAAACACCAGAGCAGTGAATTCTATATGACAATTTAGGGAAAAAACCTTGGATGACAGATTAAGTAGCTGCTGAGATGTGAGGAACACAAGTCCAGGAATATTCATTGCATATTTTTATTTTTTTTAAGTATATGTTCAATGATATAAATGCAATAAGTCTGTTCACTTCTGGTATTTTTTGTCTATTAAAATTCCCCTTATATAAATTTCCTTTAATTTTTCCAAATTTTGTTCATGAATTTTATTTGTGAATGTATTTGGCTTAGGAGAATAGTATCAAATTGAATTTTAAAACATCTTTCCTTCTGTTTAAAATAAATATTTTTATAGTTCATTTATGTATGAATTTAGAGGCATTCAGAATTCTATAGCTTAACCTTTTTCTTGACTGCCATCCCAACAAATAATAGATTTTCATCAAACAAAAAAAAAAAAAAATAATAATAGTTCACAGATAATTATCTTGGCAACTTGTAGTAGGTTGCTGCTATCTTTTATATAGAAATTTTAAAAGGTGAGA